ATTAGTCTTAACAATTATTTTTTTTTAGCTGTAATAAAACTCTTTTAATATAATATTTTCAAACAAACCTTAAAAAATATATATAATTTAAAATATTTAGTAATAAGAGAAAGAAATTTATTTTATTTTTTTAAAGTGCGGTATCGCAAAAACTTTATTGATAGTAAAATATAAAAATTACATAAATCAGAATTTACAAAATTTTCTATCTAATATAATTATGAAACTATACTAAATCAAATCGACCCCGCACTTTCCTAGAATTCAACATAACCTAAATTATATTATCACCTTCCAAAAGACTAGAAATAAGGAAAAGGCTTGGCCCTACTACACCAAAAATTTATCCATTGTGATCCTAAACGGACCATGTTAGTAATGAGTTCAGAGGGAACAATATATTTTGAAGAAGTTGAAAAGAATATCCTGTAGCTTCAAAATTTAAATGCTTTTCCCATTCGTTAATATTGTACGATTTTTCAAATTCATCAAATAATGAGCATCGCCTTGTCCAAATTATTTGTGATTATTTGAAAACAAAGTGCATAAAGTTTGAGAGTGCTGCAATTGTATTATCTTTTGTTTCCAAAACAGAAAGTATAAGATTGTAGAGGCTTGTCAGTATGATGCCTTTAATAATGTCGAAGAATGAAAAGTTTGTGAGAGAAGAAATTAACCATATGTTTGACTGATTGATATGTTGTGGAATTTCATGAAGGTCCAGCAGTAGTACAAGGTGTTGTTTAGACTATTTAACCAGTTGAGATAACTCAGTATACACAGTGATACAATTCCAAATATGTGAGAAGTCCTCTATTTCAATATTGCATCAGATACATTTCCATAATAGGTGATAAAGACTTAGATAATGCTTTTTTAATACTTCTAATATTGGCAAGATTTCGAGAAGTCGATGAATCTTCTTTTGTTTAATAGCTGAGGCTTCATAGCACATAGCACGTGAGGCAATATTATCAGTAATGCAATAAAAGGTAGTAAGCCAGTGAACCTCCGAGAGTTGATATTTTGAAATAATGCCTAGGTTGAGAAAGGTTGCTAGAGTTTCCGCTCTTTTAATATCTTTAATAAAAGGCCGAATTGGAATAGCTATAGAGAGTTTATTGAAAAATATCAAGCAATGTTCATTGTTGTCTATGTTAATTTGAAGAGCTGGTGAGGACAGAGATTGTTTTGTAAGCGAATCTACTTTATCGTTGAAGGTGTCTCCTGAATGTGCTTTCACTTTGATTAGTGAGACAGTAATATGCATCTTTTTTATGGTATTGAATATGCAATGCCAGATGTGAATGTTGGTTATCTTCAAAAATGGTTTTTGAGATGGTGAATAGTTTAACAGATTCTTGTATTTGTTGAATTGTGCAATAACTACACTAGAATCAGTGAAAATTTTGATTTGACATTGTAAAGGAGCAACTAAAAATGCTGTAAAAATAGCAGCAAGCTCGGCGATAGAGAAAGACAGGAAAGAAGTTGTGAAGGCTGATGAATAAGATATAATTGGTGCAGTAGGCGCAGTTTGGATCCAAGCGAGACCCATTCTAATAAAAGGCTTTCCTAAATTAATAAGTGAGCCATTAGAATAAAATTCGAGAGCAAAACACTTTGTAAAATATGAGCTTAAAGTTATTAATTGTGAAGAATGAGAGGAAGGAATGTATTTTCTATAAGTGACAGTGAGGTTAAATGAAGGTTAGGAAGTGCGAGAGGCAGTCTTAATGCAGTATGTAATTGATTATAGAAGGAATCTGCTAGGTCTTTTAATATATCTATTGACCATGGGCAAAAAGGCCCAGAATCAGACCAACTATAATTGACAGGTATTGTAAAACAAAGATTGAGTGGGAGATTAGTAAAACATAAATTGCGTGAAATATTAACAGTTGGAGGTAAGATTGTATATGGATTATTGATTGGACATCCATTGCATTCTTTCAATATCGTCTTCCGTTTTTGATTATGTGATGGGATAAAGTGTTATATTGTGGTAGAGCTATTATCAGACTGTCGAAGTTTTCTAATAATAGGTTGATTATTGCCCAAATTCTAATCTACGATAAAAGATTGTTTGCCAGGAATCTTATTTGGTTTAGCGAACTCAAAATAACATTCTTTCAAATGTGGGACCTTTTGACGTAATTCGCCTGTAATAGGATTCGAGAGTGATTCTTGTAACTTTGTAAACCACGCTGGTATTTTTCCTATGTGCAGAGAGTTTTGATACACTGAGAGATCAGCAAAAGTAAGCATAGATCGACCATGTGAATAGGAAAGTTGTTTCAAGAATAGTAAAGAATATTTCCTTAGATTAGCAACAAATTCTTTGTACCGTTCAGGAAATACTGTGTGTAATGGAATATTCCCTCCTTTGATGATGTTATGAAAAAATGTGGTATTTGAACTGTGATGGCAGATCTGTTCCATTCACATAAAACATTAGCAACTCAATCTGAATCTTTTGAAGGGGTAGCGTAAGGCCAACATAATAACGGAGAGCTAGCTAACCATTCTCTTTGTTGGAGTAGTTTGAGTCTATGTTTTGTAGAGACACCCAAAAGATTATTATCATTGATAGCGAAAAGGAGACCTTCGCTATATGCAGCAATTAATCGGTGATGTAAGTTGGTGAGATTATATAACAAATGTGAATGCAGAACCGTATGAGGTGTGAAACACGTTAGCCGTAATTTCCTTTTCATAAATGCTCTGTAAGGGGAAATGATCTAGTGGCATTATTGGTCAGTGAATGTCATTAATTGTGCCAGATATTCGATCCTTGAGACAAGGACAGTATTAAATATATAAGTAAGTTGTTTATCGGTAAGCCATTTTTTAAACATTATTGTGACAGCGTTTTTAACTGCGCTTTTAACCAATTTGTTGGTAAAGGTTTTATTACGTCCGAGTGATATCTAAACTCCCAAGTGTCTTGTAGATTCGTTAAGTGAGAGCGGAGGAATTACAGTAGATGTATCATTAATATTACATATAAATGCATTATCATTGTCGTTACGATTTGTAAGTAAGACAGATTTTTCCCAGTTCATTTTAATAGAATTGAGTTGATAGAAGCTATCCGCTATATGTATAATTTAGTCCAAATCCTCCCGTGATTTTGCGATCCACAGAGTATCGTCCATGTATGCTAAAGTTGATGTTTTAATGTTAGTGGATTCTTTGATATTGGTCATGATGTTTGGTTTTCATATATGAGTAAGGGAATAGCTGTGCTTTGAGTTTTGAATCCTACATAGGAGGGGATCGTAATAAATGCACCATAACAAGGGTGAAATTATTTCACCTTGGTCAATATTGGACATCACACGATATGTGTCAGTGTTATCAAATATAGTGAAGATTTGGTTGTACCAGCTTCCGAACATTTTCATAATGAAACGAATGAAGTTAAAAGGGAGATGCAAACATTCTAACGCCCTGATTAGCATAAATAAATTGACCCAATCGTATGCTTTGGACATATCTTATAACAGGATCCAGAGTTTACTTTTGTTGTGTATCGCATTATATTTGATGTTGTCAATAATATGGAGGGGTTCAAATGTTAATTTAAAAGGTAGGCCTGCGAAGTTGAGTCCTTTTAAGATGTTGTGCTTGACCATTATGGTGAAAAGTCGACAATTAAGGAGTTTGATGAGTGCTTTTCGAGGACACTCAAGTAGCGTAATAGGTCTTATGTTATTCAAATTGTATTCCCACAGTTTGGGTTTTGGAATTGGATAAATGAAAGCATGATTCCACCTATGTGGTAACAATGATGTTGTAAGGCAACCACAAATTATGAACCATAAAAGGTTTCGGGAAAAAAGACCCAAATGTTTTAACATTTCATTCGAAACTTTGGAAGGACCTGCTGCTTTACCATCAGGTAACGAATTAATGATATTGTACCATTCATCAGCTTCTGGAGGAGTCATTAGCTCGTTATAGATTGATTTGTCAATACCCTTTACTGGTCTATAAGACAGGATCTACTCATCAGTAATTTCAACATGTTCATGAGACGTGCCAGCTGCCATTTGAAAATGACGAGCCACTTCTTGTTTGACTTGTTTTTTATCTGTTAGTAAATCACGTGATGAGGAGAAATTATCGATACAACTATCTAATAAGATAGTTTTTCTAGTTCTTTCTAATATGGAATCAGTCATTCTAGCGGGGGATGAAGTATAATTTTCGAGCCTTTTTTCAAGCGCTTGTTGGATTGACTTCAGTTTGTGTTCGTATTCGTGAAGTTTGGATTTGACAAAAATGGCAGCTAGAATTTGATCGATGTAAACACTGAGCGATCAAACTAGATTAACAGATGGAAATAGTGGTAATTGAACAAAAGGAATTTGGAATTCTTCCATAATAATATAAAATTGTTTCAGGTTTAGTGTCTAATTGTCTTCAATAATGAGGGTCTGACAAATTTTTTTGATAATTTTTTTAAATTTATATAAAAATCGCATATTCTTATAGAGTTTAAGCAGGATCGGTGGTCGTTTTATTTCATGGTATCCTTTTGATTGTCTTGATGGGATTGTCTTATCAGCGGCTTTGATAATGCATTCCTGCAATAAGTCCCAGTAGCGGTTCAATTTGGTTTGATTGAAGTTGGTTTGGTTATTCAGAGATACTAGAGCACAACCCTTAGCAAGTGTATCCGTTTTATCGCTGAATTTACTTCAAAGTTCTGGGGTCATTTTGTCTAAGTTGAAAATCTTCTTCGAGAGTATCTTTCGCTTATTTGTTTTGATGTTAAGAAAGTTTTCACATTTGAGTATTACAATTGAGTGGTCAGAT